TTAGCAACCGTGTCACTCACTTAACAACTGCGGCGATTCATTTAACAACTTTGGCAGGAAAGGTTGTAAAATGGGACAAAATTCACTTATCCAATGTCTCACTGGATAGCAGAAATGTTGGACTCAATTATAATCTCAAGTCAAGGACAACCTAAACAGAATTTGCATAGCTATACATATGGATGGATGGATATGGATATATCTATACGTTTGCATATCTAAAAAAAGGTAGCAACTACATTTCTGCTGGCTGAAAATCTGTTGTCTAAACCTTTATCATAGGAAAGTATGCATTTAGAAGTAAACATCGCTGCGTTCAGGGAAGTTTACTAAGTAATTCTGCATTGTATTACAGTCATGCCTCATAAATTCCATTATGAGCATTGATTGCTGGGGTATTCTTGTGTTAAGGCTGGGGTCTTAAGCAGGGTGTGAGTTCCTTTGATTATTGCCTTTTCCCAGAGTGTAGTTACCGTACTATCCACCCATCCTTGGGTCTATATTGGCATGAAATTGGAAGAAAACTATACTGTAGAAACGAAGTGTCCAATCATGGCAACTTTAAGACCTGTGGACTTCAATTCCCAGAATTCCCCAACCAGATATATGCTGGGGAATTCTGGGAGTTGAAGTCCACAGGTCTTAAAGTCACCAAGGTTGGGCACCCTTGAGGTAGAAGCATAAGATTTGCTACTGCTTCTGTTTCCAGTCTTTGCCAGTCATCAGTTTTTCCTGAGGCCCAATCTCACCCCAACTTAAACCCTCCATCAGTCTACATCGTTTGGCATCTGATGATGAGAGATACAGTTCAGGATTATAGCTCTGCCTTTTAATAAAATTTGTAAAAAAAAAAGAAACTACCAAACTTCTTCCAATTTTTTGTTGCTCTAGTACAGAGCAGTGTTTCTGAATTTCAGCAACTTTAAGATGTATGGATTTCAATTCCCAGAATTCCCCAGCAGAGCTGGCGGGGGAATTCTGGGAGTTGATCTGTACATACTAAAGCTGGAAACTTAGAAACACTGCTATAAACTAACATAGTTCTTCTTTTACAATGTCCCTCCTGAAGTTATGAATCACAAAGCCTAACCGGTTTTTGTTCTGGTTTTCAGTGACAGAAATAAAAAAAAAAAAAGGGTTTTATTTGTTGACTTGGCAAACGACAAGAAGTTATTCCTAACCATATCACAATTGGCTGCATTTGTACAACGTACAACGTACTTACTTAGCCATGCAGAAATCTAGCCTTATAAAAACAAGGATTATAACTAACCACCCAATGGAGCCACTCTTTTAGCACTCTTTTATCGGGATTGATGTGTTTATTCTGAATTTAAGATTGAAAGCTAGTAACTATTTAACCAGGACACAGAATAGGAAGCGGAATCCCAGGAACCAAAATGTGTGGGTCGCCAAAGCAAGCAAACTGGAATATCGCTGCTAACCGTTGCTGTAACAATGACAAATCTCGGTCAGTACTACACTACCCATCATCCTCAGCCAGCATAGCTTCCAAGCTAAGAGGGGGCACGGCAGGTTCCTGTTATTTTCTCTTATGCATTAGACACGATAAGTTCACTTTTTTTTTTTACCTGCAAGGAAAAAACGATCGCATAGAACAACAGCAAAAAAAAAAACAAAAAACCTGGCTACGTGATGCTATTTATGCAAATGACTGAGCTGAGCACAAAGACTCTATTTCCCAGTAGGCTCCGCGCCCTCGGAAAGTAAACATCCGCGTTCTATCCCCTCCCTCCCCTTGCCACGCAGACCGATCGCTTCCGCCGAGGAGCTGGACCGGGTGCGGCTAGAGGTGAGCGAGGGTCTGTTGCCAGGGGCAACCCCGGATGCAGGAGAGACTGGACCGCGCAGCATCGGAGGGACCCTTTTTTTTGTCCCAGGTCGTGGATGCCTGGGAAGGGACGGGGCGGCCAAGCTCTTTTTTGCCGGCTTGCGGACCAAAACATGGGGGACACACCCGATGCTGCCTGAGCTGGAGCCACGGGACAGCCCCACCAGGAGCTGGGTCTGGAATTGGGGCGGTGGGCTCATTCCTCAGAGGGAATTTGTGCCAGGGCGGGGAGTAAGGCAGTATCCAGTGTCCAGCGCTGGCCAGATAAAGCCCGGTGAGAGGCCCATGTTAGCTGCTTTTAAAAGAGGGTGAGCTTGAGAGAGAGAGAGGAAGGGCAAGGAAAGAAGGTAAGGGATATTTACTAAAGACACAATAGATCAGTGTTTCTCAACCTTGACCATTTTAAGGCATGTGGACTTCAACTCCCAGAATTCCACAGCCAGCATTGCTGGCTGTGGAATTCTGGGAGTTGAAGTCCACATGCCTTAAAATGGTCAAGGTTGAGAAACACTGCAATAGATTATAATGGGATGTAGTTTATATGTTATGCTAGTGTAGTTATCTGAAGAAAGCTAATATGGTGTAGGGGTGCAGGCATCAGGCTAGAAACTGGGGGTCAGTGAGTTCTAGTTCTAGGCGTGAAAGCTGGCTGGGGGAGTTTGGGCCAATCGCCAGGAGACGGGGAGTTCTAGTCCTGCCTTAGGCATGAAAGCTAACTGGGTGACTTTGGGCCAATCACCAGGAGATGGTGAGTTCTAGTTCCGCCTTAAGGCATGAAAGCCAGCTGGGGGACTTTGGGCCAGTCGCCAGGAGATGGTGAGTTCTAGTCCTGCCATAGACCTGAAAGCTAACTGGGTGACTTTGGGCCAATCACCAGGAGATGGTGAGTTCTAGTCCTGCCATAGACCTGAAAGCTAACTGGGTGACTTTGGGCCAATCACCAGGAGATGGTGAGTTCTAGTCCTGCCGTAGACCTGAAAGCTAACTGGGTGACTTTGGGCCAATCACCAGGAGATGGTGAGTTCTAGTCCTGCCGTAGACATGAAAGCTAACTGGGTGACTTTGGGCCAATCACCAGGAGATGGTGAGTTCTAGTCCCGCCTTAGGCATGAAACCCAGCTGGGGGACTTTGGGCCAATCACCAGGAGATGGTGAGTTCTAGTCCCACCTTGGGCATGAAAGCAGCTGGGGTGTGTGTGTGTGTATTTATTTATTTGAATCCACCTTTATTATTTTTACAAATAACTCGGGTGGTGAACATATA